TCAAATGCTTCAAGTTTTTTAATAGTGGTGTCTGTAAGCGTCTATGCCTCCGCCCCGTACAACAACACAGAGAAAACATAGCATCTCAAATGTCTCATTTTTGTATCAAGGAATATGTTGTGACTTTTGAAGATGGCGCTTATTTTGTTTAAGACCGTTCTTGCCTTTCCTATGCGGCACTTTATTTCCTGTAAATTGCTCCACTGTTCGTTAATAATAGTTCCCAGGTAACAATACTGTTTTACTCGCTCTATCTGCGTCCCATTAATGTATAGATGAGCCCCGTTTATATTCTCCTTGCTACAAGATCTACAAGACACCTAGTAGCTGGAATGAAACTGGCGATCAAAAGGCCACATCACATAGTGGAACACATGGCCACATGAAAGTGTAGTTTTTGGAAAGACAGATTTAGAAGTAAAATCGTCAAAGATGGCAGTCAATAGCAATATTAAGATTTTAACTCTCGAGCTTCGTTCGTGCATAGTTACTTCTACAGGATGTTTCAAAAAGGTATGTCATAAATTAAATCACGCATTTCGGAGACAAAAACAAATTGATTGAATTCAACTTACCTAATAAGGTAAAACATGACCGAATTATGTAAGTACTCAAAAACAAGAATTTGGATGTGAGGGATGTAACATTGATATCAAATTTATACTACAGCCAACGATCAAATGTGAAAATTGAAAGAGAAGTGCCAGAAGAAGTGAAGATAAGGAAATGGGTTAGGCAAAGTTGCATACTGTCGCAGAACAGAAATTTAATTACCAACATTAGGTATGCCGACGATACAGTCATAATAGCCGACAACTTGGAAGACTTAGAAAGAATAATTAACAAAATATTGTGGAGAAAAGATATAGAGGAGAATACGTACTCTCTCTTAATATTAAAAAACCAAATGCATGAAAATTAGCAAGAACAACAATACAAAAGAAATATTAACAGTAGGCGGCCAGCAGATTGAGAGAATAAAAAGATATACTTATTTGGGAACGATAATCACAGAAAATAACGAATATATTGCAGAAATAAGATTCAGAATTAAAAAAGCATGAAAAAAGGTCTGACATTGGCCCTCATAATAAGGCTAATTAATTGCTGTGTACTCTACTATGAAGCTGAATCATGGACATTAAACCGGAATACAATAAATCGACTTAACGCGTTTGCAATGTGGACACTTAAAAGATTGATAATAATTCCATGGGTAGATAAACTAAGGAATACATAAGTGTTAAGGAGAATAGGCAGAGAGAGGGAAATTGAAAATACAATAACTGAAAGGAAATTGCAATATCTCAGACATGTGATGAGAGGCGAAATATTTAACATCTTGAGACTCTTATTTCAAGGAAAAATAGAGGGTAGAAGAAGCTTAGGAAGAAGACGCATTTCCTGGTTAAAGAACCTGAGAGCGTGGTTTGGTTGCAGCTCAAGGCAATTGTTCAGAGCAGCTGCCTTGAAGGTTAGAATAGCCATGATGATTGTCAACCTTCGTCGCGGAGATAGCACTTAAAGAAGAAGACGACGTAATTGAAAACACAAAGAAAAATAATTTTCTAACTGATCTTCGATGTTTTTCGTTCATGTACTATTTTTTTTTATTTTATGTATTATATAAACTTGAATATTACCTTTATTATTAATATTATTTAAAAATAAACATGTAAAAATCTTCTTAAGAAAAAAAGTATAATTAAAGATGATACTTCTTTCTTTTCCAGCATCTATATTTTGGATGTGAACCATATCGATAGAAATAAGTCCAAAGAAGTTATATTGGGCCATATTCATGTGAATATTTATTATTCATATTGAGTTGGGTGCAAGATGTGACCTTTCAAATGAGGGGTCACTCGATTATCATTCCTATTTGATATGTTTGACATGAGAGTTGGTAGGAAGATGGAGTGGTTAACACAGGAATGATTTTTACAAAAAAAATGTATACCCCTGAAAACAAAAGTTCATGTGCTCGGAGATTGTTTCAAAATCCGAATTTTCCATTATCCACTGACCTATTTAGGGTGCCACGTTTTAACTGAGTTGATTGTACATATGTCCATATGTACACAGGACGTTGCTATATTCGACTGAAAATGCTCTGCCTGAGGCGGCTATTATTTAATATGTTTGTATATAGAAGTATTGATAAAAAATATATTTATTATATTAATAATGATAAAAATAAATGGAGAAAATATAAATAAGGGTACCAAAGAAATGAGGTAAGATTGGCGATCAATATGAATAATTGGACAACCAACAAGAATAATTTTGGTGTATATGCAATGAATAGCAATGCAACAATAAAAAATAAAGAACATTTTTTAATACACTAAACGACGCATTAGGCAATGAAAGGATAGAAGAAGGCATTTTATTAATTGGGGACTTTAATGGGCATATGGGAAATGAAGACGAAGTGGTGGGGAACACCCCACCACTTAATTCAACTAATTAGAAGTCTATATGAAAATAATAAGTGCACAGTAAAAATAAACAACACCCATTCCGATCATTTCAGAACAGAGGCAGGTGTCAGGCAGGGATGCATAATCTCGCCAACTCTGTTTAATATCTACAGCGAACACATTACGCGAAAGAGAGATACTAAGATTTACTAGAGACACTAAAAGTACTAGCTACCATATATTATCTAACAAAAAACTTAGCTAGTAACAACATAGTGGTGTTTTTTATTACTATGTGCAAAAAAGTTTTTTTTAACGTTGGAAATGTATGGTAGCTTTGAACTTAAAACGCAAAGGTTTACCCAAGGTTAATCGAAAAACCCAATGTAACTACATTTAAAAGGAAGTAATTCTTTGAATTGTCGGCAATAACTAAATTTTTGATTGTTATAAAGTTTGAATGTGAGGTTCTGTTTTCTCAGAACGCAAGCGCTGAAAATTACAAGTAGGCTTTTAAATATTTATGTCGTTAAGGTTCATTGGTAAAACCGATGAAGTTAGATCCCAGTTTGGGGAGATATTATTTTAGAATTTTCTTAATTGAAATTCTTTTTTAATTAGTATATTGTTCATGTATTATTATAATAATATCTTATTGAGATATATAAAAGAAAAGCAAGGGCATGTTGCACTCTTAACATTGATGGAAAAAACGTTTTCCAGAAGCCAAACCAACAATGCAATCTGACCTGGAAGCATAACAATGAAATTGTTGAAATATGAAGGAGAAAGTTTAGTATCGGAAATAGATTCGCTCACTACTTTTCGCAGACAATTAAATAAATTTGCACATTTGCACAATAAAAAGAGGTCTTCGAATGTTCTTATCTATATACAAGCTAATTTCAAGCTACAAGACATTTGGCGAGAAGAAACAATGTCAGATGAATAGAAAGAAGGGGTTATTGTACCAATACCGGGGGGAATTAACTCCCGAGAATAACACTCCTTAATATCACCTACAAAATCCTTGCAAATATCCTGCTAAAAAGAACCAAAACATACACAGAAGGAATCGTTGGAGATTATCAATGCGGATTTAGACCGGGCCGCTCTACTATTGACCAGATATTCACAATAAAAACAGATAATGGAAAAATGCTGGGAGTTTGATCGTGAGCTTCATCAGATGTTCATAGATTTTATACAAGCATTTGACAGAGTATGCAGGTCAAACTGTGGACAGCGATGCAGGAACTTGGTTTTCCAAAAAAAAACTCGGAAATCGTTTCATCGAGAAGGACCAAACTTACTACTAACATTTGCAGACGATATAGATCTAATAGAAAACACACGATTAAATATGGAGACTTCCGTGAGGTTCGAGAAGGAAGTAGAGACGATGGGGCTCCAAATCAACGAAAACAAGACGAAATATATGTATATGAGCCGCAATAACCAAAGCAGAGACAAAATCGGTTAGAACATTATCATCGATGACTTTAACTTTGAGCGCATTAGAAAATTCAAGTATTTTGAAAAGACAATAACTGAAGACAATGACAGATCACAACAAATAAACAACAGCATTTAGGCCTGCAACAGATGTCTTTTTACCCTCCAAAACCTTATAAAATCGAAACAACTAACAAGACGTACGAAGATACAGGTCTATAATACAATTATACGATCCGTTTGTGATGTATAGAAGCGAAACGTGGACGATAACAAAAGCAAACGAAGAGAAACTATATGTTTGGGAAAGAAAAATCCTATGGAAGATCTTTGGCCATGTGCTGGATGAAGCATCAGGACAATATAGGATAAGAACTAACAAATAGCTCGAAGAACTTTACCCGGACGCCAACATCATAAAAAGAAATAAAGTCAAAAAGACTCTAATGAGCAGGATACCTCGGAAGACATTCTGACGAACGAACAGTAAGACTGGCTTGGGAGAAAGTCCCAACTGGAAGAAGACCACGCGGACGCCCTCGTCTCCGGTTGCAGGATAATATAGCAAGAGACCTTAGCACGATGGACGTGTTGAATTGGATGAAGGTTGCTCAAGATAGAAAACAGTAAAGGCATGTTGTCGAGTCGGCTAAAACCCACGAAGGGTTGTAACGCCACGGAGTAAGAATGTACTTATGATAGAAAATTGAACATTGAAGAACATTGAATTTAAAGAGAAAACCTAGAACCCGGTGGAAATAAAAAGCTCAAAACCAAAAAAATTGAAAACAGAGTACTACAATGGCACGGTCATGTTTAAACCATGCCAGACCGTAAGTGGCCATAAACAATAATGGAATGGGAACCACCAGGAAGAGAAAGACCAGCTATATGAAGAAAAACGTATATAGAGAATACGATGGTAAAGAGATCTCATAGCAAGTAACTGGGAGGACAGAAATCTATGCAGAGCTAAAACTGCAAGTTCATAATTGGAAGAAATATTACCAAATATACCAAAAGAGATCACAGGAAAGTATGAATATATACTGTATATACCTGTAAATGATATTTCTGTTACAAAAATAATAAAACTCTATCTGTATAGTAATGCAACTGTAATGGACTTGGTACAAATACATTCACTTTTTACTTTACTAACATTTCGATGGTTGTTACGCCGAAGGTAAAGCGACAGAACTCGGATCATCTTGCTTTGTAAATTCTTCACCATCAGTACTCTTAAGTATCTTCATTTCTTCGGCTTGAGAAGATTTTTTGTCACGTCCAGCTTTCTTATTTAATTGATCAATATATTTCTTCCTATCAATTTGGGCTTGGGCTAAAGCAGCTTCTTCTAACTGTGTTAACACTTTTAATCTAGGATCCATTCCAAGCCAGTCAGAGCCCAAAATATCAATAAGGCGCAGTCTTTTAGTTATATCAGGTTCAAGGAGATTTACAACTAAACTTTTTACCTGCTCTGACAATTGCTCCACTACTTTTTGTCGAAATTTCCATCTGCGATTCAGTTGTTGTTCGTTAAGTCGTTTAACGTTTGCATCATCAAAAGGCATAGCTTTGTTGATCATTATGTAAAGTATTATGCCCATAGACCATACGTCGGCATTTTTTGGATAATACGGCATTCCTCTTAGGACTTCTGGAGCAGCGTATGAAAGAGAACCACAATAAGTTGTGCTAGTTAGTCTCCTACCGTGTGCATCAGTTACAAACCTAGCAAATCCAAAATCTGCTAATTTTAAATTGTAATTGTTAGTTATAAGACAATTCTCACATTTCAGATCTCGATGAGCTATGTCCATATCATGCAAATATTGAACTGCTAGAGTAAGTTGTCGAAACCAAACTCGAGACTGGACTTCCGGTATTGGCCCTTTTTTTAAAACATATTCCAAAAGATCGCCATTTTCCGCATGTCGCATAAATATAAAATACTTTGTTTTTCTTTGAAAGATACTATGTATGTGTATAATGTGTGGATGTGATATTCGAACGAGGATATCCAGTTCCCTAGGTAGGAACTTTTTGACAAAATCGGGGGGTGCTTTACTTACATCAACGATTTTACAAGCCAAAACTCTGCTGGGTTTTTCTGGTGAGTTATCGTTGCTTTTGGTTGATGTAGTTATAAATTCGGCTAAAAAAACTTGAGCATAGGATCCCTCGCCCAATTTTTGCAAAAGGCGGTAGCCGCGGGTAGAGAGTGTAAGTTCTTCAGACTCTCTGAGTACGAGACCAGGGGCCATAATCTATACAAAATCATTTTTGCAGGATTTTTACTAAAATTTAGATCATGACACTGAACTGCAATGTCAAATCGATTAGCTTTTTGACATTTTTGTACAGGTTATATTTACAATATACTTATTTCTTCTTTTTTGTATTTTATTAATTTTTTTTAGTTATTTATACACAATAGTAATTAAAATTAATTTCTCAACTTTAAATCATTAAGTCTTTAACACCATGATAGCTACCAAACGTGCTTCCTACTAATAAGATATAACCAATGCAACTAACAAGGAGAATAAATTGCTAACTTCAAGTGGGCTTTACTGTTCACTAAACTGTTCATTCTGCAAGATGGCAAAGGGGATATAATCCCAATCTCACATTTATATCTTTTAGCGAAACGGGCTCTAACGGACAATAACGGAATTTCTCAATAACTAAATCCTAAATCTGAACATAGACCAATTATTACAACTATAGGCATCACCATTCTCATTAACAATCAATTCCTCTGCCAAGATAAAATTTCCGAACGGAATGATGGAATTTCAATTAGAACTAGGAAGTGAAATAATACATTTCAAGCCAGAGGTGGAAAATTATGAAAGATTCACAATACTAGTAATTAGCTGTACGAAAAATCAGATTATAGAGTTACCAAATCCTAGATCACTGTGGCTATACTGCATGAAACCTTCGTAGGAAACTAGAACAACTGGCCTAAGCAACCTCAAAGTATATTTTATGGCCCAAATACTGAAAGACATAGCCAAACGCATAGTTAGCCTCCCAAAACCTACCAGTGAATAAACCCACTTACAAAAGCTCTAAAATTTGTTAATTGTCAGAAAGCCGCGACATTAAAAGAGTTGATAACATTTATCACAAATTTATCAAACACAGACCACAATATTCGTAAACGACTACTTGAATTTTACTATCAAATAATGACAAAGCAAATGTTTCCAAAATCCTTCAAATACAGCAAAATCATCACAATATGAAAACCTTGGAAAAACCATGAACTACCTGACATCTATGGACCAATCGCTCTTTTATGCGACTAATACAAGAACTTTGAGGTGATAATCCAGACGAGGTTTTTCATTTTGCAAAGCCAGATATTCCTCAAGAATAAGCTGGATTGACTAGAAACTTTTATTAAAAATGAATTTAAAAAACTTAAAACAACAATTTTTATCTATCTATACAGCCATTGCTGTCCAATTTTGGACAAAGGCCTCCTCTTCCTTCTTCCACTTCGAGCCTGCGTGTTTCTTTAAGTCATCTGACCATCTCATTTGTGGGCGTCCTCTTTTTCGTTTGTAACTATATGGTCTTCAGTGTATAATCCATCTTATTCCGTCTGTCATCTTTCTGTCTTATGGTATGTTCAGCGAACTTCCTCCTTATTTCAATAGCAAGTATTTCTTTTCTTGTCTGATAGCCTGATGTTCAGCATTTGCCTTTCCATGGCTCTTTGGGTTTTGCTGTTTTTTCCATGTTTTCCTTTGTAAACGTCCAAGTTTGAGAACCGTAGGTGAGAACGGAAAGTATACATTGGTTGAAGACTCTTGTTTTTAAATATTTGGGGTATTCTCTATTTTTTAGTTTATTTTTTAGTATATAGGAAAATTTTCCGAAGGATACCCAAGCCAACCGTATCCTTCTCTTTATTTATGCGGTCTGATTGTCTTTTAATTTAACTCTTTGTCCCAAATATATATATTCTTTTAATTAAAACAGCAATAGTTTTCATAAATCCTACAAGAGCTTACGACACAGTATGTAAGAAAGTTCTTTTGTTTAAAATATCCCAGATGATATCATGCCATTCATTCAATAATCTGATAAACCAAATGTTAAATGACAGCTGTTTCCAAATAGACGTCACTGGGAAAACGAATAAAATCAGAAACTTGCAAAACCTAAATGGTCATTTATGCCTTCCGTTTCTTAATAGCTATACATTAGATGTACCGACTACCATCTCATGCAAATTTACTTAAGTCGATGACATGTCTCTGGGAGCTCAAGAAGAAGATATACTAAGGCGGAAACCACCATAGAAGCAGATATGAACACTGTTAGTAGATACTTAAAGAAATGCGGATTACAACTAAACCCATAAAAGACTGAAGTTAGAGCGCTTCTAAACAAATAATCAACCACATCTTATTAGAGTGATTAGCTACCAAATTTTAACTCCAAAGATCCACGAACTCACTCCCAAGGCAAGAGATTGGCTTCAAGGCTTGAACCTTTGACTTTAGTTGAATAATTTTAAATAAAAATAAATTGACTAACCCAAAAAAATTCAAATTCAACATAAAATGTCAATGATTTGTGTCGTTATAATGCGTTTCTTATAAATAATCATCACAGAATAATAAACAAACAGAATACCCACTCTCCACGGAAAATAAAGTACGCGCATCTCCTCCGCGCAGACGTTTCGCCATGTTTTAGGAGGATTTTAAAGAAATTAGTGTTGTTTATGTGGTGTGCATGGAAAAATTAACCAGGTTTATTTGACTTACGGCAATCATAGACATACTATATAATTATATTAATATTGTTAAATATAATAACATAAATATAATATAATTAAAAATAAATATAAACAATTACATAACCACACAAATCATATGTCTGTGTCCTCCTAAAACATGGCGCGCGTGCTGAAAAACTTCAAAGGCGGCATCTGAGAGTGTCCCTTCTGATTGTTTGTTATTATGTGTAATCATTTTAATTTAATTTTTACATATTCTGTATATAGCTTGTGGTATCGACTTTCTTACTAGATTAGATATGTATTTTTTGATATTATAAAGCAATACCCCTATTATCAACTAGATCTCAAACAATAACAAGTATCATGTTAAAAATATAGCATTAACAATAATTAAAGAAAAACAAATTAATAAACTAAATTGTGCGCTTCATTATAAAAGTATAGTTCAGTTAAGAAATATAATATTCGTAGAAACCTCAAATTTGTAGGTTTTGATAGTTCTGCTTTCAGATATAGTGCGACGGCTGGTTGTTCTGGTAATTAAATACATAATTAAAAATATTTATTTTTTACTTGGGTATACAAGGTCTATCTGTACATCGGAAATTACACGATATTTATGAAAATTGGTTTATGGGGATATTTAAGAAAATATTTTGACAGACATGCAACTTCCGGTTATACTTGGAGTTAACAGCAATTTTGACATTTTAAATAAAACACCCTGTATAATATTGCATTTTTAGATGTTGTGTGAAATTCTGGACAAATTTTGTAAAAGGTACCATAGGTGAAAACTTAATATTTTGTAAGTTATTTATATTTTTTCAAAAATTTTGACAGATAGAGGCAAACATTTCAAAGTTAGTATCTCATCCATTTTTACTCATAACGTCGTGAAAACTTTTGCAAACAAGAATAGGTAACGTCCGTTTAGGAATTTATATCTAAATTAAATTTATAAATACAGGGAATTCACAAATGATATGCTCAAGATGAAAAGAAATAAGCAAGGTGTCTAGTACACAGATCCTACAAAAGTAAAGTAGTTCAAGGAATCTACGAATATTGTAATAAAAACTATCAGCTTTCCGTGAAATAGGTTGGATGATGACGATATAAATTTTATATCGTTGGCATTTCTATTATACACATATTTGGATTATTTAATATGGAAATATCTTGGAACATAAAAAAGTACGGATAAATAGGATTGCTTATTAAATTCTCTAGATATTTCATACAAAAATTGATTAACATACTCTTTCGCAATGTATGTATAAGATATTTTCATCAGTATATTAAAGATCTTCAAGATCGGATTACGTACTGAAAACTAAATATCACTACACAACTTTAATTAAAAATTTTCCAATAAAGTCGTGTCAAATGTACCTTAGTCTGAAATTTTAAATAAAATTCTAGATGAAAATTTCATTAAATTTTTAATTATTTTCAGAAACAGTGATGTTAAGTTAAAATCTTTTTTTTAGTGATTATCCTCTTAGGATATTTGTGGTACCCTAAGCTTGATTAATCAGCTTTTCGTCTTAAAATTGCCATTATTCTGATAACGATATCATTCCTTATTTAACTTATATACTAAAAACAGAAATTTTCTTGTGATGTGTCCAAAATATTCGTTTTAAAACGGTGTCGAATGTGTATTCAAAAAAATGAAGGACATTGTGAATACTTGTACCACTGTAATAAACGCTCTGTCACCCGTGTAACATCCACGTCTATAATGTTAAGGGATGCTTATATCTGCGAGCGGAGGCAAGTCTTGCTGGTCCGACTAGTCTGAACGGACGTGATTTCGCCCTCGCGGATTTGCAAGAGGATAGGGAAAATTTGGAAAAGAAGATGAAGGACGTCCAGATTGTAGGCCATGAAAAGACTTGAGTCTATGGCTTGCTTTAGAAGCAGGAGCAATGTATAAGCGAAAATGTGTTCTCTTCTAGTCTCTACCTGTAAACCGCATGGAAAAAACAATAAAATCCAATTTCTTACTTAAAATATATTAAATAAATTGTATACTATAACTAAGACAACAAGATATCAGTTATAACTATATATAACAGTTATTGTTTATTCAGTTGCGAAAGAAGACGAGAAGAGACCTTAGCGCATTTAGGTCCTAGCTAAAAAATACGTCTTTGCAGTCCAACTGGAACTCAGGAACAGTCAGCTGAGAGTACTGTACGCTATCACGAATTTACGAGATACAAAATATTCGGAACTTATATGGTACTATCGTTCTGTCGGATATACTAACGCGCTCACTGAGCTGAACACGCACCGGACAGCGGATCTACTAGGACACCCCTAGATTGTCGAGTCCTCACTAGCTCCGGTCGCCAACACTACTAGCTCCGAGCACTCACTGGTGCCGAACAATTACTGGACCCTGCCCCAGAGTTTTCGCTGATGGTGTTATCTGCTCCACGTGTTAAAATGGTTTATACGATGGTGTGCCCTGCTAGCTCAGCTCAATTATTATCGCTGGAGTGTCGCTTAGTTGTATTATTTTCCAACGAAGGTCTATGGTTTCGTAATTTTTAAACATTTGGGCTGGCCTAACTTTCATTTTCAAGGTCGAACTTTCATTCTTTGTTTAATTTGAAATGAATATGTTAAACTATGTCGAATTATTTTTATTCTTTATTTAAGTTGGAGTATATAATAATTATTTAATTAATTATTATTATACTTTTCTAGGCTAACTACCCCTTATTTTGTTTCTTTTATTTTCTTGCTGTGCTGAGTTGTAACATACCGGGCTAACTGATTAACGATTGCGCTTGGTGGTGGGGTTGTTTCCCTTGGGTATGTGGCTGATACATTACAATAACTCATATATTTATGTTCCTAAAATTTAGCCAAGTGTTAAACATTATGGAGTGCAGTTTACCGTACCTACAACGAAAGGTTTACTGCAAATTCTGTTAATCGTTTAGAGGTGTACTTCTTCTTCTTTAAGTTCCATCTTCTATCGAAGGTTGGAAATCATCATGGCTATGCGGACTCTGTTGACTGCCGCTCTAAAAAGTTCTGCACTACTGCATTCAAACCATTCCCTTAAGTTTTTAAGCCAGGATATTCTTCGTCTTCCCACATTTCGCTTTCCTCGGATGTTGCCCTGCATAATAAGTTGTAATAATGCGTATTTTTGCCCTCTCATCACATGTCCCAAGTACTCAAGTTTTCGTCTTTTAATAGTTAATATTATTTCCGCCTCATTTCCTATCCTCCTAGTTACTGCCATGTTTGACATTCTTTGAATCCATGATGATGGATTTTCACGTAACACGTAACACAATGAACACGTAACATCGAAGCATTTTCAGGCGTAGTTCTAACCTTATATCCCGACAACAAAGAAACTTTTTAAGTTTAATAAATGATGTACGTGCTATTTCAATACGTGTTTTAATTTCTTTGGTTTGGTCTACATCTGATGTTATCCATGTTCCTAAGTATTTATAGTTATTAACACTCTTAATTGCAGTATCTTCAATAGTCAATTAGATATTTGCATGTGCAGATTTAGTCAGGATAATGCATATAGTTTTCTTTAAATTTATCTTCAGTCCGTACTCATGACAGCGTTCATTAAGGCGTTGCATTACGTTCTTTAAATCATTGTTATTATCCGTAATTATTACTGTATCGTCTGCAAAACGTAAGTTATTCAAAACTTCTCCATTGATAGATATACCTTCTATTGAGTCTGAGAGCGCTTTTTGAAATACCGCTTCACTGTAGACATTGAAAAGTAGTGGGGACAGCACGCAACCCTGGCGGACTCCTCTCTGTATTTTAATATTTTCGGTGTACTGGCTGTCAACTCTTACCTTGGCAGTTTGATTCCAATATAAATTAGATATATTTTTCAGATCACGACTGTCAATATTTTTGCTTTTTAATATATCTACAAGCTTTTTATGTTGAACTTTATCAAATGCCTTTTCAAAGTCTACAAAACATAAGTACATATCCTGATTCATGTCCATGCATCTCTCAGCCAGCACATTCAAGCCTAACAAAGCATCTCTTGTACTCATACCATTTCTAAAGCCAAATTGTGTGTCACTATTCTCATATTCAAGAGTTTTAACAATTCTGCTGTGAATTATTTTCAAAAATGTTTTAAGTGTGTGACTCATTAAAGCTATTGTTCTGTGGTCTGAGCAAGTTGTTGAACTTGGTTTTTTGGGAATTGCTACAAAGGTTGATTGCAGCCATTGTCTGGGGATTGTGGCAGTCTGATATATTAGATTAAAGAGTTCAACCATTACATCAATAACATCTTCATCGATGAGTTTTAATAATTCGATGGGCACCTCATCTGGTCCAGTAGCTTTACCCTCATTTAGAGGTGTACGTTGGTTGAATATACTGTAGGTTCAATCGAACTAATTTTGGTTCCAAAATACGCGATTTAATTTATGACCTACCTGTTTGTTACACCCTGTATAGCATAACCTCTTGTTATATCGTGCTTGTTAACGATGGTCAGTGCAAATAAAACCATTTACATTTAATAATGTATACAATTTTTTTATTATGTAGACAATTTTATATAATGGATTTCTTAACTGTCGCTCGGAGTAAATTATCTTCTTATGTTAAATCGTGTCATGAAGTGTAAGTGATAATAAACTTAAAAACATACAAATGTTTAGTTGCAGTTGCTTTAGTTTTTTTTGTTTTAGTATCCACACTAAAACCACTTTATCCACCCCGACTATTAACATTTCTTACTCCGACATTTTAATTAATTAATTTTTTTTTTCATTCGTTTATGCAACTATGTAGTATTTGTACTTAAATTTTTAATATATTTAGCTGATCTAATATTTGCATACCTACAACAAACGCTTCAACTTTAACAATAATCCTTGTAAATGAGATAGAAACGTCAACTTCTTACATTCTATCACTTACGTGATAGACAAAATACAATAGATAAGGTATTATGGTATTAATACTACAACAAAGCTTTACAATAACATTTTTGTTTTGAGTCAGTTTTCAGATAAATGTATTAAACTCGCCAGCTACACGCGAAGTGTAAAAGTTCAATCCGCTCAAATATTTTATTTATGGATTTCTCTTTGTGGTAAATTAGAGAATTGCATTTGAAAATGGAGACGACCGCGTTAAAACACAACAAGAGTACAGAAATCGATAAAGGTAAGTGAAATAACTATAATAACACTTTTTAGGGATTTATGTATGTCTGGTGCGGAAGAGTATTTTTCTAAAAATGCTTTTGTATTTGTCGTTAGGAGGACAGTGTTAATATTTAAAATGATATATACAGGGTGTTAACTAATTTTTGACTTGTGATTCACATGTGCGTCATACGCACACTGGTAAGATTTTCTTGCTATGTGCTGACTGGCGCTCATGTGAGTCTTACTAATTTGGTTTTTATTTTTGTCAACATATAAATAAAAGTTAACTAAAATAAGCAATATATATATATATATATATATATATATATATATATATATATATATATATACATATATATACATATATATATACATATATATATACATATATATACATATATATATATGTGATATATATAAAACTGTTTTGGATGGGTTGGAGTCAATAAAAGGGGCTATTTGTCGACTATTTTTTACTCGAGCTTTCAATTGTGCTTACAATTATTATCAAGAGCTTCTAAAAAATACAAAACATCTTACAAAGTTGAACTAGAAATAAAAAATTTTTTGTTAACTCACCAAATTAAATTAGTTTTTTATATAAAACTGCTGCTTACATATTAATTACAAAAAATATTAATAAAAAAATGTCCTATTCTAATAAATGTTTCTCTGAAAAATTTTGATTAAAAGTTTCTTAACAAAAACAATTGAATTTGTAAACAAAAATTGAATAGCTACAAACCAGCCTAAATGTCATAAATACTAACTTAAAAATTTTTATTTTTGACATATTGTCAAAAATAAAATTTTGTTTAAAAAATTCTTCTTTGTATAGTAACAAAAAAGAAGAAGATTTATTCACCATTGATAGATGCCCGTAAAAATGTAACAAATACATGGAAAATTCAAAATGTGATATTTTACTGACTGCATATATAAATTACATAGAAATAATATAATTATAAATTTTGCTTAGATTTTGAATTTCTGACCTTTTGTTTAAATTATTATCACTTTTGCTAATACAAACCATTTCCATAAAAGTTCTTTTAAATTTATTACTTTCACTACATAAAATTTTAATATTATCAAAATCCATAATATGGTCTTTGTCTAATACATGCTCTGCCAAAGCACAAGATGGTTTCTTAATTCTGCAATCACTCTTGTGAGAAATAATGCTCAATTATAACAGTTATTAATTTTGTTTTATGACCTGTGTACTCATTGTATAACAAATGTAAATTTAATAGCATTAGTTGAAGGAGATGCTTTCCTAATTTTTATACTACCTCAACGTCTTTATGTTACAGTGGTAGTAGGAACTCAGTTGATCTTATCGATCAATTCTTCCCATATGCGTATTGTAATGAAATATGGGAGCAGGTTTGCTCTTTTTTTGTTGTCTTTTGTCTATATATTCAATCATGTCAATTCCAAATTCGTTGAACATATACAAAACTTCCTTTTTATCTTTCCATTATCCTACTAATATGTTACCATGTACAGCTGGCCGAAACTGTTTCTTCTTATTCTTCTTTATGTGCTGTCTTCTACCGAAGGTTGGCGACCATCAAACGATAGGTTTCACTGATTTCAACTATTTGCAACTGTTTCACCTTTCTTTAATTTTTGTGCTATTACTCCTCTAGGATTTTCTTTTCTTTTGAAATTAGGGTGTACTTTGTGTGGTTAAATAGTGAGCTAACTCATATGAATTATAAAAGTTGTTAATGTATACATTATGTCCAGAATCTAGATAATCATCCACTAGATACTGAACCACATTACTTTTGTGACCTTTTCATCCCATATTATTAGCTGCTCCAGTATACACCAAAGTTTTTAAAATAAAACCGTTTGGTTCAGTTAACATGTATAACTTTATTCCATATTTACGACGTTTGTTTTTGATGTACTGGCGAAAAATCAGATCGTAGTACCATTGAATCCAGAGTCAAATTTTTCCGGGATAATAAATGGTTCCTATTTTTCTGTTTAAAAAATTGATAATTGATTTAATTTTCATCGGGCTATCAGTAGAATTTTGTTGGTCATTATTGGTAAAATGTAGACATCTCATGAATAATAGAAATCTGTCACGACTCATGTGCTTAGCGAAACATTTTATATTAAACAGATAATGACCTTTCCAGTTCTCTTTTAATCTATTTAACTTTATTGTTCCCCTGTGTGACACTAGTGCTAAGAAAGTCAACATTTCTTCGAATGTAACAGGTTCCCATAGTGTAACTCTGGACTTCCCTTCTTTCCGAATAAAAAAAGCTCTTCAGCATAAAGATTAGTTTCCTCAACAAATAAATTTACTAGTTCATCAACACCAGTAAATCTAAAAGAATCGATAGGTTCCTTATTGCCTGGAATTATTTGTAGAATTTGCTTTTTTTAGTCAACTGGAACTTTTTCATTTCCCCTGGTATATTGTACCACTGCAAAATACCATCATCATTTGTAACCTCCGAATCTTGGATGGATATATCATCAATTGAACATATAACTTTTTTTGCAACAAAGTACCATAAAAATCAATTACCCATATTAACTTCCTCATCATCTGTATGCTTCTCCGAATTAGATACAGCCCAATCGCACCACCTCCATCCCGACCACTATCAAAATCTGAATAATCAATATCATCATCGACATTCTGCAATATGTTTGAAAGTTCTTCTTCTGTTAAAGGTATTTTAGGTTTTTTGGTTGTTATGGACCTTCCACATCATTATCCATATTTAGTTAAAAAAAAAACAGAAAAACTTAAAACGGCTCTCTCAGTGATTCACAAATACGTATCTCTAATGGTGTTGAAATACTAACGTGTTAATTTTGAACGAGCTTATGGCTTACCAGCGAGCCATGCGCATCTGACAAAGGAACGATGCGGTTCAGAAGGGAGCCATGTGCAGCCAAACTGTTAAGTCAGTCTACGTAATAATTACAAAATCATCTAAAATAAAACAGTCTTATCAAGTCTTAATGTAGCCCTAATCTTTAAGCCAAAGTAAAGACAGTATATTTTGTAGTTCTTTGCCTACATTCAAAAGCGTTATATAAAGGGAAAAATAAAAAAACTAATACATTGCATAAAACTGATATATGTATGACTAATCTCTGTCAACTGTCTTAAAAATAAAACTTTTCTCATGAAAATGAACTCATCTTTTATTTTTTCTCATCTTTAATTTACTTTTTAGGTCCTGCATTTGGTATAAGACATGTACAAGTCGTATTTCTGTTTTGTTTGGCCATTATAGTGTATGGAACAAGATTTGGTTTCTCAGTGTCCTTGGTAGCAATGACTCAACAAAATTCTCCAAATCCTGATGTACCTGTAAGTTTCTGTATGCGGAGAGAATACTTTTTTTTTAGTTTAATATTTCTTTTTTTCATTTTTTAGTTTAGTACGAAAAAATTGGTGAAGGTAGCTAAATATCGGCTGTTGTACCAATAAATGAGATATTTTAAGTAAACTAGTACTTTAATATCACATTATTTATTTAGCGTATGACTAAATCACAGGTTCATATAAATATATAAATATAAATTATATAAATTACAAACAACAGTAAATATAAAAATATTATTCTACAAACAAACATCTAGATTATAAATATATTCGATTGACTCTTTTGTAGCAGCCAGGAAATCTGAAGGGTTGCCATTATAGGATCTAATCAGGCATTCCTCTACCATGTGTTTTACTGTTTGCCTTTCGGCGCCGCAGTCGCAATTTGGTGATTGTATTTTCCCCATCTAAAAAGTGAGTCGGAACATCTGCCACAGTTCGTCCTTATTCTATTGAGTGTGGTCAAAATTCGTCTCGGTTGGTTGAAGCCCTCAGGTTTGCTTGTATTACATGGCATGTTCCAGTTAGCTGGTGCAGCGTTATTCTCCCATTGCTCTCTCCACCGTTCAGTTACATTAAAGTTTTGATCTACTAGCCTTTTTGTTTTAGAGGCGGGTGTCTTGAACAGAGCCTATTTACGTCTTTGGCGGAAGTTCCGACATGGGAGCGGAGCTCAGGATCAGTATTGATTTTTGTAAATTCTCTGACAAGGGCATGTTCCCGGCGGATGGGTGGTGGAGCTATATGACTCAAAGCTGGTAACCAGTAAGTGGGCGTTGCCTTGATTGTGTCCGATATAGTTCGCATGGCTTGGTTGAGTTGGACATCAACACGGTGAGTATGTGGACTGTTTATCCATACTGGTGCACAGTATTCCACTACGGGGTATACCAGTCCTAATGCTGTCGATCTAAGTGTGGGTGCTGAGGAGCCCCATGTAGTGCCGCAGAGCTTTTGGAGGATGTTGTTACGAGTTCGGAGTTTTGCAGCAGTCTTAGTAAGATGCTCTTTAAAGTTCAGCGTTCTGTCAAGTGTAACACCTAAGTATTTTGGGTGTTTATTATATTTAAGGAGTCATCCCCAAAATTGATTTGAGGTTGATAGTTGGCCATCTTGTTGTATAAATGGAAGCAAGATACTTCTGTCTTAGTTGGATTGGGTTGCAATCTCCATTTGCGGAAATAATTCCCTAGGGCATTTAAATCGTTTGTTAGAATGCGTTCAGTGACCTCGAATTCTTTATGACTTTCGGCAAGCGTCCAGTCGTCTGCGTATCCAAACTTTTTGGATGTGGTTTCTGGCATGTCTGCTATGTAGAGGCTGAAAAGCATGGGAGCCAGCACGGATCCTTGTGGAAGTCCATTATTCAGTTTTCTTTGGGTACTAGTCTTGTCTCCCAATATAACTTTAAAGCATCTGTTGGATAGCATGGCGTTAATAACCTCAGTGGTCTTTCTGCATGGGATTATTCGCATTAATTTATATATTGCCCCTTGTCTCCACACAGTGTCATCAGCAGCAGATAGATCGATGAAGACAGCGGTTGTTTTTGATTGCTTTTGAAAGTTTGATTCCACATAATTGGTCAGGGCGAGTACCTGGTCTGTGCAGCTGCGGTTTGGCCGAAATCCTGCCTGTTCCACTGGTAAGTGTTGGAATATGGTTTTGCTGATTCTATTATACAACAGTCTTTCGAACAATTTGTACACCATACTTAAGAGTGCGATGGGGCGGTAGTTTTTCGGTGAATTATTACTTTTCCCTGGTTTTAAAATGACGACGATTTTCCGTTTGAAGGATGTCAGAAAAGAATTCTGCGAGCCATTGCCTAGTGAATCTGCCGCTATGTTTGAGGAACTCAGCGTGAATGGCGTCGAAACCCGGCGGTTTTCCTGTTTTCATTTCATTTAGGGCTTGCGATATTTCTTCATGCGTAAATGGGTTGGAATATTCTGTTGACTGTGCAAGACTAGATTTTATGGTTTTGAGGTCTTTTTTAACTTTAATTGTATGTAAACGATTTTGAGGTGCCCTAGAGGTTGACACTATGTGCGTAGCTATTTGGTCTGAAGTTACTAGGTTGGTTTGGCGAACGGGTGGGTTGCTACTTCCGAGTTTCCGCAGTAGGGACCAAGCTTGTCGACTTGACTTCTGGAAGTCTAGGTTTTCTACTGTCTGTGTCCATTTTTCACGCCTGGCAGCATCAATGCTTTGGAGTAGTTCGTCTGCAATCTCCTGCTTTCCATCTTCGCAATATTCTTCATACAGTTTTTCGCTCTGTTCTGTCCAACCAGGGATATATTCTATGCGGAATATAATATCACATTTGATATACTGATAGATTGAAAAATTAGTTCTTCCAACTACTTCCGTAACTTTTCCCATCCGCTGCAAATCATCCTCGAATTATATTTACCCAACTTCCTCGTAAAATCCCCGTAACCTTTCTTATCTGCAAGTTTTTAGTGGTTATAATATATTTAGCTTGATTTACCCAGTCAAAAAAGTTCTTTCTAGCATTAGCAATAATTTCAATGAGGTCTTTTGGTATACGAGTAAGTAGCTTGGTATGCTTCTTTGCTTTCTCTATGACGGCAAAATCACGATAACACGAGAGAAAGGTATATCTTTTCACTGGAAATTTATAAGTGATTTTTGATAAAGAACTATTTGCAATTAAAATCGAGATATATAACAAGTAAAACTTGATTCTTTTCTTGACCACCACAATTATCTGAACAGAGAATTAGCTTTTTCTTATCTGTCGTGAATCTTTTTCTGTCTAATTCACTATTGTAAAAAACTTGTACAGATAAAAAGCTATCTCGTTAGACCCCCTTTGCTTGACATTCTCATTGTGACGGTTATTAATAATATTTGAAATAAAAATATTTTTATTTTATGATTTATTGTTTAAAAAACAATAATCTTTAACAATAAGTGTGCGTTTAGAAGTGTTTATAGTGTTTTTTATTATTATCGAATTTTAAGGTGCTGTAAATTAATAATTTTTTATGAATATCTGATTTTATATTTTAGGTTTTTTTCTTGATCATTTATATTGTGTTCCATTAGCATTTTTTCTCTATTTTTAATACCCTAACATACTAATCTTTTCTAATTTTCAGGTTTATAATTGGACCAACAAAAACATCCTTCTCTCCACCTTTTTCTGGGGATACGTCGTCCCTCAACTACCCACCGGTATATTAAGCACAAAATTTGGCTCAAAGTACATTCTACTAACTGCTATGTTCATGAACTCTTTTGCAAGTATTTTAATACCAACAATGGCAAGTAAAATTGGTATAGAAGGAGTAGCAGTTTGTAGGGTAATACAAGGACTGTCCCAAGGAGTGATAGTGCCATCAGTGCATGGCTTGCTTGGATGTTGGGCGCCAACTAATGAGCGAACTAGAATGTATGGAACAGTTGTAGCAGGTAAAGTTTAAAATTTAACCATAAAACAATGAAAACTTTTGTTTTCAACAATTCCACAAATTTTTTTTCTCAAGTGATGTATTTTTGGTATGCGTTTATACTTTAGAGTCATTCAGAATTATGTTCTGCCATACCTTTGTTAAAAGTTTTACCAGTTTGAGCGATGTAAGCTTTTTAGCAGTGGCCACATTTAAGCTTGTACACACCATTGTATAAGTGCTTTTTTTGTCTCTTAAGAACAACAAAACAATATTGTTCTTAATATATTTGCCTAAGTTGTGTGTTTCTATTGTAAATTCCAAAACACAATTAATCCATAAATTTTCTCCATTTAAAAACTATCAAAATCAAAAACAAACACGAGTATTCTGTGTTTTATAAACCTACCCATACTAACACGACTATATACAATTCATCATCCCATTCTACACAACATAAATTGGCAACCTACTGTAGCATGTTACATATAATAAGAAAAATTCTTATGTCAAAAAAAACTTTGAAACTTGAAAGAGTTGCGCCATCATGGTCTGTAGTTATTCGATACTTGTAGCGAATATTACAATGTCATTAACGTATCTTAAATGACTCAGTTTTCTTCCATTAACATTCTGGCAAATGTGCGGTTTTTTGCATTAGGAGAAGAAAATCCACCGGCAAACAGCTACATGGAAGGTACAGTCTCGAAGCTACTAGACTTTATAAAGAGGGTCAGGCTAGAGAATGTTGTCTAGGACTAGAGGGCCACAATAGATCTGAAAAGGTCGCAGTGGAATAGGCCGAAAGGCCACCTCTCTTAATCTAATCTAATGTACAAAAAGTTGAAAGAAATATCTGGAATACACACTTCCCCAACAACTAGAGTCTATTTTAGAAAAATGGATACATTATTTTCATTAAAAAAGACAAAGTGGAGAGATGGAAAGACGACGAAACACCAAACCGAATGGACTATATTATATTTTCATACCACTTCTTATATGGACAAACTCACTCGGGTAAATGCTTTTTCAAGGCTATCATTCTAGCAAAATAATATTTCACGCTGCATGCCGCAAAAATCACACATATGTTAAAGTCTTTTAATACTTTTAATCCCAAACAAACACTGCTATAAAATAACAATATGTATATTTACATATGATTTAACCACTTACTTAAGTTGTATAATATATTATTTTGGTACAGAAGTTAAATATCTTGTAGTATCAAAGATACTGCATTCTAAGTATCGCCTAATATTTACCAAATTAAAGAATTAGTAAGGTAGATATCGTTATAAATGTTGAAATATAATAAATGCAATAGTAAAAAAATTCTAAAAAAATTAAGAAAGAAAATATATTTGGAATTTTATAGTAACCAGAAAAGGTGAAGCTTGTCGTGTTCCAATACAATTCTTTCTTCTTCTTCTTCTTCATGTACCATGTCCTTTCAGAACGTTGGTTACCATCATAGCTATTTTAATTTTATTCACTGCCACCCTAAATAGCATGCTTGTATCTACACCATACCAATCTCGCAAGTTCTTTAACCATGAGGTTCTTCTTCGTCCTGGACTGCGTTTGCCTGCTATTTTTCCTTGCATGATATTTTGTAGCAATCTATATTTGGGACCTCTCATTACATGTCCGAAATATTCCAGCTTTCTCTGCTTGATGCTTTTTATGATCTCAATAGTCTTGCTAAGACGTTCTAGTAAAGTGCAGTTACGAATCTTCTCCACCCAGGAAACTTTTAAAATTCTTCTATAGCACCACATTTCGAAAGCCTCAAGGCGATTTAGATCGATTTTATTCACAGTCCAGCACTCGACAGCATAAAGTAAGACCGAGAACACATAGCAGCGAAGTAGGCGAATCCTTAATGCCAATTTTAGGTCTCTGTTACATAACAATTCTTTCTTCCATTTTCAGTATTTCATCTCCTGATTCTATATCTTATTTTCTTTATGTTTAGAGAATGTATTTGTCCCCATTTTTTCATAGTTCAGTTCGTATCAACTTCAAAGTCTCTGTCCCATATGGTTTACCAATACATCATGTACTTTTCGCACTTTTTTATGTCTTCTTTATGTGATTCCTCTTCGTAATCAAATTTTTATATCAACGTATAAACTAGAATATTAGAAAAACGTGAGTGACAGTAAATTTGAATAAAAAGCTTAGTGTAAGGAAGGCATTATTTGGCCTAATAATACTGCTGAGATCAACGAAAAGCCGCGTTTCTCTGTTTTATCGACTACTTTGATTGAGTAAAACAAACAGAACTTATAGAAACACTGGTATATAATATACTAGTGTTGCTTTTATTAAGAATCTGTATTAAAAGACACTGGATAGGCATGGACACCTAGTTATTATTAAGAATAGCTGAATATAGGGACAATTTGCTTTAACTCTCACCAACCTTTAGTAATGGAGATAGCATCTTAAGAAGAAGAAGAACCAAACGTGAAAGTACTATTTTTTCCCTTTAGTCCTACTTTTTTTAAAGAATAATTTTTTTCGAAGACGAACCACACCCCTATGTCCTACTGGCAATTATTCTTAGCAATTCGTGTCATTCGTCAATTTTTTTCTTTTTCAGTCTTTAAGTAAATAAGTTGAGAAGAGGAGAGCTGTTTTTCTTAAGTTGCTCATTCAGAATTATATCTGTATTTTTTAATTAATTAATTTCCGTAGATTCCAATAAAAATGGCGCAAGACTTTTTTTTGAATATAAAGACTTTGAAATTGGTCAATATAAGAATCATTATGATATAAATGATAAAGGGAGTACGTAGAATCTGTTTTTCTATAATTGAAAGCCCATTTGTGTTCTGCTAAACGTTTGTTAAAAATTTAAAGGTTCTATGAGTTTGACCGATGTAAGTTTTTGAGCAGTCACCACATGCGAGTTTGTATGAAAGAGCTTTTTATTTTGAATTTTATTGTTCTTAAAATGAGCAATTCATCAATATATTTGCCTAGGTTGTTTGTTTTAAAAGTTACACCACTAGACATAATATTTAGTAGTTTCAATTTATAGCAATACAAGGCTGTGATAAACTTCGTAAAACCGTCACCTCAATATGTTACTTAGATCTTTATAAGGTAAATTTGATTTTAGGCTATACTATTGGTATTATCACTGGCCTGACTAGCACAGGTTTTATGTGCGCTTCATGGACTGGATGGCCATTAAGTTTCTATGTATTGCCGTCTTTTGGACTAGCCTGGGTGGTGCTTTATTATTTCTTCGGTGCTGCCAAACCTGCTTTGCACAGTATGATTACTCCAGCCGAAAGAAACTATATTGAACAATCTCTTAACACTCAAAATATGGGGGTAAGTATAGATTATGAAGAAAAATATATATTTTTGAATAAATACACAGTAATCATATATTTGTATTTTAGAACATCCGTATACCGTTCAAATCAATTCTCACATCTGTACCTTTTCTTTCAACCATCACCATGGCACTGTGCAGCGGCTGGGGCTTCTGCATATTTACTACTGAACTGCCGATCTACATGAATAAAGTGATGCGCTTTGATATTAGATCGGTAAGTATACACATTTATTAAAATAGTAATAAAATACGTTTTTAATGGGGCAATAATAAACTTTGATCTTTAAAAACTTCCCAATAGTATTTCAGAGGTCTCTTTCTCAGTACCTATTTTGGGCCTAAGATGTGGCCAGGGGTTTTCCTTGATTGCACAAGATAATTACTCGTAGAATATTTGGACTTCTTCATCTGGATCTAGTAGTAGAGGCGTACACTTTAACAATCTTTAGGATATATTTTGCGTTTGAAACTTAGTTTATTGACATAATTCTGTTGGCAATTCTTTTGTGAATAAAGAAACCAACTCCTCAGACTGTCGATTCTTCTTCTCCTTTGTAGTATCATAAATTGCCTGATGGGAGTGTGATTGGAGACTGTTGGTTGATTTCTGTAGAGCCTACCGTACAGAAACGATGCTGGTACAACAATACAATGGTATTTCGCCCAGTGTTCCAAGAGGTTCTTAGTGATCACGTGACCATTTAGTTTTTAGCTCGATAGCTTCCACCTAAACTTATGAATTTTTTGCGTCTAATTTTCTTCATATTCTTGTTGGGTAAAATGGGAAGGGGAAACAAAGTGTCGGTGGGAGTTTAATGGGTCGTATATATTTCCCCGGGGAAAAAGGTATTTAGAGGCAAAACCATGAGCTCGCCATGGCAGGTTTGCTAGTCCTGAAGTAGATCTGTCCTCCGCCGGGATCACAAAAGAGTATCTAATATATATCATATATATTCTATTTTTTTGTAGAATGGAATATTGTCATCCCTTCCACACATTTGTACACTATTAACGGGGACTTTGGCTGCTTTCTTTGCAGATTATCTGATTTCGAGAAACTATTTGTCTGTAGGAGCAACTAGGAAAATAATGTCATCAATAGGTAAGTGTTTTTTTATTTAAAATATATTATGTAAAATTATACAGTCATTTACTGTAATTAGGTAAATAATATTTCCATTATTTACTTTAATGGAGTCAGTAAGTTATCTTCTTCTTCATGTACCATGTCCATTCAGGACGTTGGTTACTATCATAGTTATCTTAATTTTATTCACTGCCACCCTAAATAGCATGCTTGTATCAACACCATACTCAATCTCGCAAGTTCTTTAACTATGAGGTTCTTCTTCGTCCTGGACTGCGTTCGCCTGCTATTTTTCCTTACATGATATTTTGTAGCAACCTATATTTAGGACCACTCATTACATTCTAGTTGATTGTAGACGTAGATTCAAGACATTCTAGTATTGTGGAATTTCGAATTTTCTCCACCCAGGAAGCTTTTAAAATTCTTCTATAGCACCACATTTCGAAAGCCTCAAGGCGATTTAGATCGATTTTATTCACAGTTCAGGACTCAGCGAAGTAGGCGGATCCTCCATGCCAATTATAGGTCTCTGTTAAATAACACCTTGGACATCCTCCTAAAAGCAGTTCCAGCCTGCTCTAGGCCTGCTTTTGGTCTTCCTAGTTTCTTACGATTTGGTCATATCCATTTCATGGCGATTTTTGGTAGTCTTGTTTCTGGCATTCTTTGAACATGGCCATACTATATAAGTTGTTTCCTTTCTATGTCTGTTGCCAGTGATCCGTCTACCCCCATCCGATTCCTTATTTCATCGTTTCTAATTCTGTCTGCCCTAGATATTTGAAGTGATCGTCTAAATACATCCATTTCTGTTGATTCGAGTTTCCTTTTATTGTTTTCTGTTAGTCTCCATGTCTCTGTACCATAGATTAAACTGGTTTTTATGGGAGATTCATATATATTATATTTTCGTCTTTTACCAATTTCTGAGCTCCAAAGAACTCCGTTAAGGCATCCAATTGTTCTACGGGCCTGGGTTATTCGTTTTCTAATTTCCCTATTGTCTGTGCCTGTGGTGTCGAAATCAATTCCTAGGTAGGTATATTAAGTGCAGAATACAATTTCTGTTGTGTCCATCTGAATGTTGGATAGTTCTGCGCCTATTGGGAGATATTTTGTTTTTTGTGTATTGAGTTCTAAACCCCACTTTTTGTATTCTTCCTGTAGTTTTTTGGCCATATGTGTCAGGTCTTCTTTATCGTTGGCTATAAGGACTTAATCGTCTGCAAACTGTAGGGTATATAGGCAAGTTTCTCCCAGGTCAATGCCCATTCCTCTGCACTTTCTCGTCTATTGATACAGTGCTTTCGCCACGTAGATTTTAAACAATGTGGGGGATATGCAACACCCCTGCCGGAGTCCCTTGTTTACAGGAAATTTTTTTGAAAGTCTCCCGACACTGATCCTTCATAAGGCTGTTTAAGGGCGTTAATTACTGTGTGGTTAATGTTTGTTTCCTGCAAAACTTTCCATAGCTTTTTAGCGGGTACAGTATCATAGGCCTTCTGAAGGTATATAAACATAAGGTGGATTTCTTGGTTGGTACTTGATCTTTTTTCTATTATTTGTTTCAAAACAAACACATTATCGGTGCAGCTCCTTCCCGATCTAAAGCCAGATTATTCCTCTTCTTCTTGTTCCTTATATTCTTGTTCGAGAATGTCTCAAAGTATCCTTCCATATAGGTGACTTAAGTTACTGGTTACTGATATACCTCGATAGTTTGAGCAGTTTAGTTTACTTCCCTTCTTATGTATAGATGATATGAAGGATACTTTCCACTCATGCGGGACTGGTGTACCGTTTAGATATTGGCCTGCTCTATCCTAGATCTAATTTCGCCGTGACTTTCTGCGTTACAATTGAATTGCTGTCCAAGGTATACGATTTTATCAACTTGCTCAAGTTTGGTATTATTTACATATATAGACGGTTTTATATGCTGTTGTTTACTTATTACGAGTATTTTGATAAGTTATGGGTCGATGTATCTACCATCGTGCTGAGTGGGTTATATTTTCGTTATAGATAGTACAAAAAACAAACAAGTACATATTGACAAAGTCAGATAAACAAAGGATCATTGTGATTAAAATTATGACATATTATGTCTACTTCATCATTTATCAAATTTCCATTAATATATAAGAATCATATTATATTATATCAATACAACTGAAAAAATTCAAGACAGTCCTTTATAAACGTCCCTTTACCTCCGTCTATTTATCTTTAGATTTATGAGCGCCTGTGTGGTTTTTTATTTGACTTTTTTTTAACAGATAAAACATCAAAGCAACGCCACGTATCCTACTGACAAAACTCCCTCACGCCGATGATTTCTGACCGACAAAATTATGACAAATCCGTCACGAAGATGTCTGGTAATTCTATTGTTGTCAGTTTGACAAACGTCATTGAGGCGTTAATAAATTTTGGACAAATATATTGAATCCAGACAAACAATCAAGATTTGGATACCAGCTGGGTGAAGAAATCAAAAAATTGGTTTCGAAAGATGTCCCATTAAACACGCAGAGGCCCAGAAGCTCTATTTGGACCCAATTTTCGAAGTTCCTATGGGTAAAATTTAATGCTTGAAACATGTACTACCATAACAAAGGCAATGGCGAAGACTATAAAGAGCCGTCTGTAAAGTCAAGATGGAATACTACAGCAAAAATAGCACAAAAAAAATATCTTACGGAGTACCGCATAAGAACCGACCCTTTCACAAATATATCTTTCAAATCTGCAAGATTCGCCAGAGATACCAACTGGAGGCAGCTTTAAAGTGTTCAATAAAAAAGAAAATTCAGTTCAAAACCATTCTTCACTGAAGAACTATTAAAAATCATCCAAAGCATCGACGAGGAAACCCCGATAGAGCACAACAAAAGTTTTTTCACCTTGAAAAGCTCATTTAAACTTACTTGGAGAGGCAATGAGGCCGTAAGCTGTATGATTCGCTTTTTCCAGAAGAATTTGATGTGAGAGAATTTACGGGCCTAACTGAATACAACAGCTTTTTTCAAAAACAAATCAAGGCGGTTCTAAAAGTTTGGAAAGCAGCAAATGGCTGATCAAAAATTCATCAAAGGAAAATTTATGCCCTGATAGATTATTTTTGAAATTAATGGAAAAAGAAGACCACAGATTTTATCAGACATACTCTTTCTGACTGTTCACCCCAACTGGAAGGATGGATCTTGGTTCAAAAACTGTCCACTTGGAATCAACACCGTATCTAAGTGGACAAAAATGCCAGAATTGGAATTGGAAACAAAAAACATAAAATAACAAACCATTCTCATCGATCTGAACCTATCAGCATTGTTCAAGCAAGGTATTTCGGAACAGGAGGTAATTAAATAAACGGGTCACTCAAATGCAAGCTTTCTAAAACCATATCTGCAGGTGGAATCCAATCACCACCAGAAATTGATCGAAAATCTCAGAAAAAACAAATAAAACTAGACCTTCGAGTTCCCAAATGCTACAGATCAATAATACACAAAATCATGCTTTTGGTAGAACAGAATGGGCAATATTGCCAGACAACAAACTTTCATACCAGTCACATATTTTGCCGGCAAAATTTTCTTTCTTATGATATTATAGACTAATATTTTTTTCTTTATATTTCGCAGTTACTATAGTACTTTGGTTTTTTAACATTAAAAACTAAATTTTCTATTTAAGAAAATCATTGTCTTCTCAGACTTCTGAAATAGTTTTTACAACTCAGTAATTTAATTTGGTTTCAATTATGAAACTTTTTTTCATTCATTGCTCAAGATTTCCTAGCACAATTATCGTGTATAAAACCTTTTTTTACAAAAAACAAACATATTTGTAAAGAACATATTTGCAAAGTGTAGTGTATCTATCTAATCAGCCTTAAACGCCCACTCTTGGGCATAGGCCTCTCCTGTTAATCTCCATTGGTCTCTATTTTGGGCGATCTGCATCCAGTCCTTTCCTGCCGTTCTCTTAAGATCGTCAGTCCATCTCATCTGTGGTCTTCCTCTTTTTCTTTACTTTTCTCATGGTCTCCAGTGGATAATTCGCTTATTCTATCTTTCATCTTTTTGCCGGAGAGTGTGACCGACGATGTTCCATTTAAGTTTTGCAACCTGTCTTGGTACATCGTTCACCTTTGGTTTTTCTCTGATCCATGAGTTTCTTTTCCTGTCTTTAACACCGATACCCAGCATCTGTCTTTCCATAGCTCCTTGTGTTTTGGATATCCTGTCGATGTTCTCCTTTGTGAAAGTCCATGTACATGAAACATGGACTTTCACAAACTGTAGTGTATCCTCCTAAAAATAATAATCGAAGAAAACATTACAGACAAACCTGAAGATGTAATATGAATACCACGGTTAAAGTATGTACGATGTTTTTCAATCTAATGTAACTTTCCTGTAACAGTAAATTATATATACTTAATGCTAATGCTTATTTTTTATTATAAATTGTTATCATTGACGTTTATATATACTTGTATCCGTTTATTTAATAATAAATATCTTTCTTATGTACTTAAGTGCTACATTTAATATAATACAATTAAAATGTCGTAATAAAATCATTTTCAACAACAAAACACAAAGTACATTTCATATTATAAGCCTTGTCCTACATTTTTCGTCAGTCTTAAAGTGTAAAAGTAGCAAATCCTACAGAGCTTATAGTCTAATATTCTTAAATTAAGTCGTAAATACATAAAATGATAATAAAAATCACTCCAAGGGACAATTTTTACAAAAATTCCCATTGCTTAAAACAATCTTTTAATAAAAACATTTAAAGATAAAAAACAGTTTTAAATCGTAATGCATGCTAAGTTAATCAAAGCTAAATTAATTGATGGATTCGACCGTTACTTGATGGAAATTTATTTTATGTAACAATAAAAGACTGAAAACTTTGTTTTCAAACTTTCCCAAAATTTATTTTAACTCTTATCACTACAGCTGTTTCGGCTGATTGCCTTTCTCAAGTGATCTATTTTTGGCTTGCGTTTACACTTTATAGTCTCTAATGAAATAGGTTGAGGAGGGGAGAACTGTTTGTCTCAAGTTGGTCATACAGAATTATATCTGTTTTTTAATTTGTTGATTTCCATAGACTCTAAAGGTGAATTGCGTATGTAGAATCTATTTTTTTTATTATTGAAAGCTCTTTTATGTTCTGCTATTCGTTTATTAAAGTTTCGAGCAGTTTGACCGATGTAAGTTTTTGGGCAGTCGCCACATTTAAGTTTGTACAACGGCACAAGTCCAAAAGTGAAGTGGAGGGTAAGTGGAACCTGAATTCAAATTCATGGAATTCGGTGGTAACAAAAATTACAGGGTATCGCCGTATTTCCCGTTCATTTACTGGCCTATTAATGAATTATCAAACAAAATTCAAGAACAAAAAGCGCATTGAATTTTAATGAATGAATAAAATGAAACATAAACTATGTTCCGTAATATTTTATATATTTTATATTTACATATTTATATACTTTATATTTACATATTTATAAATATGTAATTGGAATTCTATTTTCTTCTTTTTCCGTTGTAATAATTGTAAAACTTTTATTCTCTAGCATTATTGATATTAAAGCATGCCCATCAAAATAAATTTTTTATATGTTTTTTTTTTAATAATTTATACTAATATATGATATAAAAGCACTATTTATGTTACATTTGAATGTGTGGCCAGCTAGGAGTCCGAAAAAGATTGTCGACCCCCGCTTTAGAGTATGGGTTCAAGTATTTAAATTAGTTACAAAATATTTTATATATTTAGGTCAAGAGAGTAGTTATCACTCTATAATCGTCACTGTCTTTCGAATTTGTGCTTTTTTACAAACAAATAGATAATGTCTGATTTTAAACTGATTGGATTTTATCAAAGCTTGATGATACCCAATCTTCAATATCAGATTAGCATAAAGACGAAAAAGAAGAATATATTTATCCTTTCTTCAATCATTATTTTTAGTGGATTTTATTTAAATAATTCTGTTAGTCGTTTTTTATTATTATTTAATACATCTACAAAGTTACCAATTATTCAGGGGCTTTTGCTTCCAAATCGGAATTTGTTCCAAACATCAGAACTTGTTTGGTTCGTTCTACTTAAGTGTGGAGCTTATGCTTCTTCTTCTTAACGTGCCCTATCAAGTCCGCTTGACGTTGGCGAATAACATGGCGAAACTGTCTCTGTCTCAAGCTATTCTAAATAGTTGCTCAGCTTTCTTTATTCCTGTCCACTGCCTGATATTCTTCAACCAAGAGGCCTGCTTTCTACCAATTCCTCTGTGTCCTTCGATTTTACCCATCATAATTAGTTGAAGAATATTATATCGGTCTCCCCTTACTACGAGTCCAAAATAGGCCATCTTTCTACATTTGATGTTCTCAAGCAGCTCGCGAGCAGCATTTGCTCTCTTAAGGACTGCCACATTTGTCAGCATAGCCGTCCATGGAATTTTTAGTATACGTCTGTGCAGCCACATTTCAAAGGCCTCCAGACGATTAATGGTGGATATTTTTAATGTCCATGGTTCGACACCGTATAAGAGGACTGACCAAATGTAGCATTTAACCATGCGCTTTCATAGTTGAAGTTGCAAGTTATCATTACAGAAGAATGACCTCATTTTTAAAAATGTCGTGCGGGCTATCTCCATTCTACATTTTATCTCTTGATCTGGATCTAGTTGTTCAGTAATATGGCAACCAAGATATTTAAAACTGGACACTCTTTGAATTATATGACCATCAAAATATAATCGTGCATCTTGATGTGCTAAACGGCTAAACACTATGTGTTTTGTTTTTGCCCAGTTTATGTTTAGGTCAAACTCTCTTCCCACTGTATCAATGGCATTTAAAAGGCATTGTAATACATTTATGACATTACTTAAAATAACTGTATCGTCTGCATATCTGATTGAATTTATCAGAATTCCATTAACTTTCACGCCCCATTCCAAATTATGCAGCGCTTCTTTAAATATTCTATCTGAATATAAATTAAATAACAGTGGGGATAGTATACAACCCTGTCTGACACCTCTTTGTATTTTACATATTTCTGTTGATTTTCCGTTTATGCAAGCTGTCACTGTTTGACGCCAGTATAACTTGTCTATGAATCGTATGTCTTGACTATCAACTCCTTTATCTTTTAATATTGTAATTAATTTGTAATGCTGTACTCGATGAAAGGCCTTTTCATAGTCAATAAATACATCAAAGACGTCTTTCCTTTGATCTCGACATTTCTGCAGTAATACATTTAGTGCAAAGAGGGCGTCCCGAGTTCCCAGTACATTTCTGAAGCCAAATTGTGTTTCATCCTGATCTTCTTCACATTTATCTCTGATTCTACTGTGGATGATGCATAGAAATATTTTCAAAGTGTGGCTCATAAGGCTTATCATTCTATAATCGCTACAGTTTTTCGGACGTTGTTTTTTTGGTAGTGTTATGAATTCGGACTTCAGGGATATCACCAGTCGAATAAACATCATTGAAAAGTTTGACCAGTACTCCAATGTTCTCCTCATTTATAAGCTTAAACATCTCTGTCGGTATGTTATCAGGGCCAACGGCTTTCTTGTTCTTTGCTAACTTTATAGCATGCAGTATTTCTGGTCCTTCACCTTCAACTAAAGTCTCCGGTTCTTCGGGTCTATCATCATTATACAGTTCGCTTATATACTTACACCAGGTTGTTCGAATTTCATGTTCGTCTATAAACATTTTCCCCGACGAATCGGTTATAGTATGTGGAGTTTTCTTATGATAAAGACCAGCTACTTCTCTAACTTTTTTAAACATATTAAACGTATCATGTTTTTCATTCAACTTTTCTAATTCCTTGCATTTATCCTCCATCCATTTTTCTTTAGCCTTGTCTACAACTTCAATATATTTTTCTTTTTCTGCACTTATTGTAACTTCTTTTTGATCACAAACCTGAAACACTCTTACACCCATTTATCCTGTTCACATTTAAGTTTACTTAATAGAGAATTATAAATTATTATCTCAATATCTTAATCTCCAGAATTGTAGCAATTCTAATTTTTAAATATTTTTTCTATTATAATTTAAGTACTTACCCAAAAATTTGTTGGTTTTTGGATTTGTGTCCAAGGCATTTGTAACTTTTTCAAGTGACCTGTAATTGTTAACGAACTATGATATTCCCTTTTTTATTATTAGGATAGATGGAAAATTATGTAAGTGCCACCAGAGAATAGTTTTGGAACGATTCAAGAAAAAAATAATGTTATTTTGTTCATTTTTGTTATTTCAACTTCATATTCAACTTCCAGTTAAATATATTTATTTACCTAATCTTTAATTTAATTTCTAGGATCCCTTGGCTGCTCCGTCCTACTTTTAATCGTTGCCTACATGCCAACTAGCTATAGAGCACTAGTTGTTGTTATAATAACAGTAGCTGCTTCAGTTCGTAGTTTAAATACCGCTGGATTTAACGTAAATCACTTGGACTTGGCACCAAACTTCGGCTCAACTCTTATGGGAATGACCAATACAGGATCAGAAATGTTCTCGCTGATTACTCCGATAGCCATTCAGTATATCGTTTATAACGAGGTTAGTGCTGTTTTTAATTAAAAATTTAATTAGCGGGTAAGTAAAAAGATTGATTATATATAGTTCGTTGCTCAGTCAAGTATACCAACTGCTTAATGAGAATTATTAACAATTATTTGACTTATAAAATGAATCTTTACCAACCGGCTAAACAAGCTTGCTTTCGCAAAGAATAAAGTAGGCAAGTAGATAGGTAAGTAGACAAAGAATTTAAATGTTAGCAATATATAACTTGCTTATATGGTATTGAAAGGGGGAACTGAACAATTACTGGGCTGATGATATGTGAAGCAAATAAATTGAAAAGTTTGCGAACGGCAACTCATGTTTTGGTTAGAGAACTAGGTCGTGTATAACGGTTTCTTTATTTGAGGGACTGGAAGAAACTAACTACGAAAAATAAATCGAAAAATACCTATAGATATGTCCTAGAAACGCTACACAAGAAGATTCCTAAACCATTTAAAATATGACGCCGTTTAAAAAAATCCTCCTGCTGGTTAGAAAGAAAGGCTTTTCTTTCCTTGGAATTTGATACAGAAAAAACTCTGTCCTACACAAACTTCAAACTATCTGGATTGGACCCATAAGAGACAAAATGGAAACTGGAAAAATCTGTGAGGAGGTCAAATGTCGAATGTGAGTTCAGGTTATTCTGATGTTAACAATATGTATTTTTCAAAACGCGCATGTTTCATTTTCAATTAAAACCATTTGGGCCTCACTTAGCCGTCGGACACACTATCAAATCCCGTGAAACAGAAGCAACAAACCGGTGATTATCTTGCTTCAGAAAGACTGCTATATAGCGTTTGAGACTAACCACCTTTCTTTTAACCAAAACTCATTCGAATTAAACGAAAATTTGCCGATTTTTAAAACTCTCTGGCGAGGATCATATGTTTTATCGTTCAGATCAAAATCTGTTCTCTCCGCTTCTACCTACCTTCAACTGCCCACTCCGTAAAATTGTCTCCCCGTACTAGTTTTTACTTTGCAGTCAATTTGGATCTATCTCTTATGTGGGAACTTATTTAAATTAAAATGCATTTGAAATGATGTGGGTGTAAAAAGTCTAGAAGAATCTCTTTAACCAATTATGGAACAAACACCGTTTAACATCAGCTGAAGATTTTGTCTTCCAATTTTTTAAATTTAAATATGAAGGATCCCACATTTCTTGCAATTTTTCCTTCAATTCGTTGACGGACCTGACAGGATATTTTCTTAAAGCTTCTTTCATTTCGCCTTCTCTTCTTCTTCAAGTTCCACTCCTATCGTAGATTGGAAATCATTCTGGCAATTATAATTTTATTGGTTACTCGCCTGAATAGTTCAATTGAACTGCATCCAAACCTTCGAGCAAAAAGACAAAAGAGGGAATGTAAAGGTAGTGGGGGCGAAAATATTGTTAGACAGGAAGTGCGATCTTTAGAGGCCACATTAAACAAGGAAAGAGAGTCTCTCTCCTTGTTTGACATCAAATTTAGTTGGGTTATGTTATTGTTTGTCCCAAATGTCACATGAAATCTTATTTATATTGAAGTTTTTTAACCACATTACCGTTAATAATTAATTAAAACTTTCTCGTCTAAGACACATTCTGAAAAATATTATATAGCTACAGTTAATAAGTGTCGGAAAATTTAAATTTGGCGCATTCGCATTTCCGGATATGTCCGCCATCAGAGGCCACTTTTTTGGTCTCCTTTTCCTAAGGATTAGATTCCATCTTTTGTCTTTTTGCTCGATGATCCAAACCATTCACGGAGATTGCGTAGCCACGAGATTTTACGTCTTCCTACGCTTGTTCTACCTTTGATTTTACCCTGCATTATATTCCTTAGTAGTTCGTACTTTTCACCTCTTCATTTCGCCACAAAGTCTCTATCAGAGACAAGTCAGGACTATCAGAAACTCATTATTCCGAAGTGGTATGTCATGGTCTTCAATTTAAATACTCGATACTTAAGGGAAATAGATCATGCTACAAAATGAGGAGCTATCAAAAACAAAAGTTGAAGTTTTCACAATAAAAGTTGCTAAACTCAAATGGAGCTTTGCAGATCACACTGCTAAACTACTGGAGATCTTACAAAGGTAGACAACCACGAAGAAGACCACAGATGAGATGAGTAAAAGAAATAAAAAGAATAGACAGAACAAATGAAGTTTGTTGATCAGGACGGAGTTGAAAAGCCTATGTCCAAAAATTAGGAAAGCAAAGAAGAAAGTTCGTTTCTATCAAATTAATAACAAATTATAGAAAATACAGAGACAAGAAACATTGTGCTCTAGAGAGCACTCGCTCCCTATTTCTCTCTCTCTCTCTCTCGCTCGCCCTCTCTCTCTCTTTCTCTCTCTCTCTCTCTCTCTCTTTCTCTCTCTCTCTCTCTCTCTCTCTCTCTCTCTCTCTGTGTATATAAATCTAGGATTTTGTCAAAGCTTTTCTCATGATACTATAATAACAAGATAGGATCTTCCCGTAGCACAAAATAGGTCGTTTTCGCGCATGCCGTCATTGGAGAGTAGAATTTGAATTCTTGTTAAAGTTAAATGGGATTTGTATGCATTCTGTGATGAAATTACTAGACGAAAATAAGTTAAGAGGTTTAATAATTACTGACATTTCGAAAGTCAAACTCTCCAATGACGTCACGACTTATGCGCAATATCTTATCTTCTTAGTCTTAGTATCATGGCTTTTCTCATACAACGCTTTATAATCGGGAATATTGAACGGTCAAATTATTTTTAAGTAAACATAGAAAGTGATGTGGCAATAAATGTAAAACCCTTTGCTTTACTCAACCGTTTACTGTAAAAGTAAATTATATTAGTAATTGACGTAACTGCAGGTTTTTAAATACACTTTGATCCATAAATATCGAAATACGCAAACTAATACTCGAAAGTTTTTTACGGAAATGTACTAAGATTATTACTCAGGTATAATAAAATATGTTAATTGCCTCGAAAATATGGTTTAACATAACTATGACTATGTGACATGTTGGTTGACAAAAAATGTGTTGGTTGCTACAGTCCAGCAGTAAAAGTTTTGTTATAAATTATTTAACTCAGGTAATACAAGAAGAACATTATCTGAAATTCAGAAGAAGTTAGAAATTTAGTTGTTTTTACATCAAGAGATGCAAAGTTCTCTAAGCTTACCCATTTATAAATTAGAAATAAGTTGAGCTATTGAAATTTTGTCTTTCTCGTTAAAGTTTTCCTCTTCTTGGAGATTTTCCAGAAATATTGCATTTCCAAAACACTTTGTACATTGTAGCTGGTGAAACATTTTTCCAAGCTACGGATATTCATACGAAAACGCTGGTTATATTAATGCTTTTTTTTATCTATAAAAGATGCTCCTAAATTTTTTGAGTAATTTTATCGATAATGTCTTGATAAAAAAGCTGGCAAAGAAAAGTTGCGTTTAAAGTAACTAAAACGATTTTTACAATTTCTAGTTTCAATTTGGGGTAGGCTGTGGTATTATCTAAAAATAATAAAAATTTTTTATTCTGGTTACTCATTTTTTTATTAAATTTGTTTAGCTATTATGTTATAATATCATATATCATCTAAGCCGTTTTATTAGTTACCCATTTTCAAGGCAATTTGCTAACATGAGCATCCTTTATAGCATTGAATGTTTTGCGAAGGTTAAGAAGTTACCCTTATCACTATACATATTTGCTCAAAACAAAATGGTCACTCCTTGTTTTGGAGTTTTTTTCTACTGACACACTTTTTAGTTTTCAAAGTGAATGTCTTGTTGGGGGTTATGCGATAAAAAAAGTATAGTTCCGTCTGCATTGTAGACATCATTTTGCATTATTTTTAGCCCTTACCTCCAAGTATTAAGACTTGATGGTAAGGTACTTAAGACCCACATGAACCAATCAGCTGATACACCACAAATTGCTTTAAGGCATATTATGACAAAACGTTCTTTCTTTAGTTAAAGGTCCAGATTGGAACTAGATCTAGATTGGAACGGTTTTCAAAAAGCTTCTGTGAACGATACTGATACTTTCATAATTATTGATAATTCTATTAAAATAAATTTCTATTTAACTCAGAATAAGCCACAATTAAAGGTAAAAATACGTTTATTGACGTTTCAATTTCCACTTCGGAAATCGTTCTATTATTCTATTAAAATATAATTATGGTATAGCACCTTAAATACTAGTTTATTATTTGATATCTTATCTATGACTATGACCTCTGTTAAGAGACAAAATTCCAAGGTTTTTTCGAAATAAGTTTCGCCGAAATGTCAGCCACCGTTTTATGTGAGTTACATTATTAAAAACCTCACAAATATGGGTTCTTAATTATTAAAGGCATTCTAAAAATGGCGGATATTAATGCTGGCCATTTTTAAAAATTGCCTAAAAATGGAGCTTTACTGTTCAGACCCTTCTAGTCTTAAAGGTCCAGTCAATTACATATAAATTTTTTACAATTGGTTATAAAAACAATCTATATTTATACAATTGGCTTGTGTGTAACTTGGTATAACTAGAACTAATACGTAATTTGTATTTTTTATGAAAATTAACATTTATGGAGAACTGATAAACAAAAATGTTGATCTTTCTAAAAAATATGAGCTTTATGTTTTTTCTTGTAGTTTATATACGTGATATACATATAATTTGCTTTTTTAGGAAGATCAATATTTATGGAGAATTGTGTTCCTAACAGCTGTTGGATTTTACATATTCTCCACCATCATCTTCGTTACGTTTGGTTCAGGTGAACGCCAACGGTGGAATTATGTGCAAAAAATAGATCAAGAAGAAGACAGCAGATATTACGTTGAAACCGGAGATCTCCAAAAGATATGATACTTTAGTGTGTAGTTGATTTATTTATTTGTTTGTCTGTACAAATATTTTTATGGAATATTTGATTAAATATAACTTTTTTAGTAACTGGGGTGTATTATTATGGTGACTGCTAGAGTATGGTTGTATGATAATTCGTAATGAACAACATACTTAGCTGCTTAGACAATTTTACCCTAAATACAAAATAAAGATACAATAGAAGTAAGGAAACCAATACATTATAAATATTACGAGAATCACGCACAAATCATGATTTTAACAATCTTTAAACGTACTTTATCTATCTTATTAACTGTATGAATATGAATTGTAGCATAATTAAGCTATCGGTCATACTAGTAATTATCAGAATACCGTATCATTTATTGGTCAGTATACGCCAAATAATTTACTATAACTTAGACGACTGTTTTACGATCAGAAGAATAACAAAGATGAAATCAAATTATTAAATGTTAGAATGAGATTTTCCAACAACATAATGCGGATTCGTCTTCTTCTCTGCTATTAAGATCCCATCCTGATTATCTTGGGGTCTCGTAGGCGACTTTGACCGGAACTCCGTGGTGATGCGCACCACATATCGGAAGGGCAGGCAGGGACTGTGGCTACTCCAGGATCTCCGTAGCTTCCGGGGCTTCAAGCGTTAAAGAAGGCTGGCTCGTTGAGACATCTGGTACATGAAAGGTATTATGTCTGCTGCAGAGCTCGATGCAGGAGTGTTAGAGTCTATCTTTCTACCACTCCGTGGCTCTCCCCACTGTTCTCTTGACTTCAGCCCATGTTGAAGTCAATTGCGTATTGCCTTCAGTAGATCAGGAACTAAGTCGCAGGGTTGAATTTTAATCCATTGTTGGGCGCCATGTCGTCTTGGGGGGGGGGGTAACTTGACGGTAAAACCGTCTCTCACACAACCGTACGCTCTGCTCTAGGATAATTGTGGATACGTGTACGCTAGGCACTTATCCGTCTTCAGGTCGGGATACTGGAACAATATCTTCTGAATTTTACAAACAATGCCAGGATTTGGATTCTTACATGCACTTTTATCAAAGAATGATGAAATAAAATGCCAATTGTAGCCAAGTGACAAGAATTCAAGTGGACTAGATGGTTTTGTTTCAAAGACAGGTCCACAAAAATCAAGAAGGTTGATCTGTATGTGTGTGTGTGAATAATGTTCTGTACGCGAGTTTTTTATGTTGCCGGAGTATTTTTAGCCCACTTATATCTGTTACACCTGACTGAACAAAAAACAATAGAACATCAAATAAAGTCCAGAAAATAGGGTTGGATTGGTCACACACTCAGAAAAAATAATTTCAGTATTGCAAAGATTGCCCTAGAGTGGAATCCCCAAGGAAAAAGAAACAGAGATCGCCCAGTACAAACTTGAAGAAGATCCATCATGGACGGGATAATAGGAAAAGGAAATATTTGGAATGAGGTCTTTAACGCAAAATAGAACCCAGTGGCGCGTTTAAGAACCCTCTATGAGCTGGTTAAATATGGGCCGACTGCACTTTTAGAATTAATAGTAGACCTTTTCAATAAATGTATGTGTGGAGACCAGGAAATTCCTAAAGATTGGAATAAATCTTATATAAGCTCCATATATAAGGGAGGGAATAAAATAGACTGTTCCAATTATAGAGGTATTAGTGTGACGAGCTCTGTGGGCCGGTTGTACGGCAGAATATTAAAGAAGAGGGTTGAAAGACAGATACAAGATATTGAAGAACAAAGCGGCTTTCGTACCGGAAGATCCTGCCTTGATAATATATTTATCCTACGACAAATAATTGAAAAGCGTGTCGAAAGAAGTAGAGAGACCCATTTGGTATTTATAGACCTTGAGAAAGCATATGATAGTGTCCCGTTAAAGAAAATGTTTGAGGTCCTCAAAAGGTCCGGATTGGATTCGACGTATATCCGAGCGATATATAAATTGTACGAAAATGCAGTTAGTTGTGTAAAAATTGGAACCAGAACCTCAAATGAATTTAATGTCACTAAAGGCCTAAAGCAAGGATGCTGTTTGTCACCGACACTCTTTAAAATATACGTCCAAGAAGCATTGAGGAATTGGAGAAATAAATGTAGATTTATGGGCATCGAAGTGGGACAAGAAACTCTGTATACATTGTTGTTTGCAGATGATCAGGTAGTGGTTGCAACCGATGAGGAAGATATAAATTATATGAATCGAAAATTATTTGAGGAATATGCCAAATGGGGGCTTACTGTAAACATAAGCAAAAGAGAATATTTAAAAATTGGAGGAAATACCACAGATCTGAGGCTTGAAAACGCAGTCATAAAAGGCTGCAACCAGTATAAATATCTAGGAAGCATCATATCAGCAGATGGCAGAGTTAAGATAGATGTACAAAACCGAATAACCCAAGGAAAAAAATGCATCCGAATACTGAATTCATTACTGTGGTCTAATAAAATAAAGATGCATACCAAACTTCGCGTATACAGAGCAATTGTAGAACCAATTACCACATATGGTGCCGAATGTTGGACGATGACAAAGAATGAACGAGATAAAGTAGACGTTGTGGAAATGGATTATCTTAGAAGGTCATGTCGAGTATCGAGAATGGAAAGAATCAGGAATGAGGAAATACGAAACCGTACAGGAATTAGAGATACTCTTTCAGATAGAATACAAGGAAGGCAATTACAATGGTATGGTCACGTGATGAGAATGGAGGAGGAGCGGTGGCCAAAGAAAGCCTTAATGTATGTTCCGCCAGAAAGAAGGAAAAGGGGAAGACCACCAAATTCCTGGAGAAGAGAAATTACAAAAACAATGCAATCTAGAGGCTTAGAAGAGGGAGATTGGAGAGATAGGAAAAAATGGAGGCTGAAATGCGGGAAGCGGCAATCGCCGTAGGACCCCCGTTATATGATGATGATGATGACGTAGTTATGGTGTCAGATGATACATTGATTTAAAACACTACTGTATACTCTTACAATATTACCTTCCTAAATATAATAAGTACTTACTTGACGTTGCGCCAATACGTGGTATATCTACTTGGCATCTTAACGCTAATTTAGTTCTGATCCCTGAGATAATAACTGTTGTCTCTTTTATAATAGTCCTTACTATATCAGCAATCGTTTATAAGTGCGTCAAGTTTGTTTTGTGAGCCGACGACAATAAGGTCGCTCTCCAACATTCTGATGACTTGCACATTTCGACCGAGGCTGTTTCTTGTGTATGTCCTCGATTTGATTTATTAAAAACATATTTTATATAACAAATGGGAAATGTGTTACACGTTTCTTTTAACTTATTCTTAAGATGCATTGTAATATTTTAGGGATAATAGCATATCAGCAGCACGTGTACAATATGATCGTTTGCTTCTTAGCGACATGCTAAACTACGTAGTTAATTGTGAGAATACGTGGAATAACAAGGTCGTTTGTCAACCTGTCTACCAGTCGCACACGAAATTTCAAGTGCTGGGGTCAAATTTGGCCACACAATTGTGGTTCAGAGTTAACTTGGTTTCAAATTTTTACCGTAAGGGTGTATTAAACATTGTAATTACTGATAAAATGCGGTAAGGATGTTTGTGGATTTTAATATCGGTATCCATGTTTTGTTAATTCTTAGTCCTTCTTCTATCCGATTAAAATTATTTAGATGCTTATATATTTCCACCGCTTCCTGATATAACCATGGGTAATACTGTAATGTTTTATCCAACATCTACATTTTCTTAAACAGTATCCGATGTTCTCCGCTTCCCAAAGCGTGTGATAACGGCAGATTTGTTGATATGTCCTAAACGACAATAGCTTTTATGTTCGTTTATCCTTGTGTTTGTGTCTTTTTGTGGTTCTCACATATATCATTCCACCATGTGCATGGTATTCGGCTTTACATTGACTTTTTTAAGTATTCGACCAATTCTGTTACCCCCGATATATAGGACAAAAACGATTTGCTTGTATGCTGTTTCTTCGTCCTTGCTTCTAGAAATGTGAATTGCTTTATGTATTTTTCTTCTGGTATAACCGTTAGAGGTGAGCGCTTTTTCGATTAGAAGAAGTTCAGTTTGCACATGCTGTGGTCTAAATTCTCTGCGCTCTTTCTGCCAGGACTTTGATGATACCTTATTTTTGGCCTGGATTATGATTTGAGTTCCTGTGTAGGTATCTGTCCATGTGTGTAGGATTTCGATACACTTTATGTTCTAAGTAACCTTTCTTTAGATTTACTAATACATCTAGAAACGCTAGGTTGTTGATATTTCTTTGTTTCCATCGTAAATTTAATATTTGGAGGTACTGTGTTCATATAAGACAGAAAATTGGTGTTTTCCACTCCGTGACCTCAAATCGCGTATCATCGACGTATCTAAACCATCCCCTTGGCTTGTATGATGACTCTATTACCCTTTTCTCTAGATGCTCCATGAAAAGGTTAGCTACGACCGGGCTTGGTGAGCTTCCATTGGTACTTTATCGACCTGGTCATAAATCTGGTCTTCTCATAAAAAGTAGGTAAACACGGTATATTTTCACCATATCCTTGGAAACTAGTCTCTCACTTAAATTCAGAACGTCTTCTAGGGGAACTTTTGTGAATAGAGAAACAACATCAATTCTATCAAGAATGTCAGGTTCCTGTAAAGTTATTTCTTTGATCTTTTCGATGAAATGGGGTTGGTTTTTTACAAAGGCATGTTTTTTCCTATGTGTGATTCTAAAACATTGGCCAGATATTGTAATTATTAAACAATTATTCTAAAGAATATAGTAGACAAAAATACAGACATCTTTTATTTAATAACTGTTTGTGAAAAAATATAAGTTTATAGATTTTTTCATCACTGACAATTATAAAACAAGTATACACAGAAACATTCCTAACAAAATTTGAACAACAGGTTCAAGGCCTTACAGTAGAAAAAAGAGATTCCATCTACCTATTGACCAAACATATGTAATCTTAACTAAAACAAAGCAATTAGAAATTATCTACGAAGATAAATATTTGCATCACTCATAAAACGATATAATTTTTTATTTTACAAAAAAAAAAACCAAGAATTTATTCGTTCACTTAGTTCGAGACTTCGAGCCTGAGATCTCAAGTTAGCCGGCTGTGGAGCTTCCAGCCCTTCTGCACTCTCTTCCCTAACAATGTGATACATGAATATTTAGAAGAAAAATAAGTAATATATTTGTTCGAGAAACAGTAATAGACAAAATGACACCTACAAAGACTGCAGAAGTCAGAAGGGTTGACAAAGGTATGTCCATTTTTGTAATTAATTTAAATTTTAAATTAATAAATAAAAAAGTTGGCCTGTTAGTATACTAATCGTTTACATTTATCAACATTTTGTTTGTTTGGCTTCATTCTAATTTCAATTTTAATAAAATACTTCAGTCGTCAGAAACGAAAATGTCACTGAAACTCTGAAAATCATACGAACAGGCAAACATTTTTGTTTAAAATTATCTCAGTTACATTTTTTATTTGAAATATTTTTTTCTACGGTGTACAGATTCTAGGTAAAACTTTTTTGTATCTTTTTTGGCGTCCCAAAATTAATATTCTGTGCAAAGTTCAGCTTGTTCGTATGATTATTAGAGGTAAACTCTCTGACGATTGGACTAGATGTGAAATAGCTTCTAAAAACATAAAAATGTACAGGGTGTTTCATTAAAAATAAAGATAATGAACTATGCTAGACTTGAGTGAATCACCCAGTACATTTAAGTTTATTATTAAAAAGCACACATAATTAAATTTAAGAGTTGAAGCTTAGAGATGAAGAGATTTTATGCGCTGCATTTAGAAGCGTAATTCCTCTATGGTTAAAGTATTTAAACATATCTCCTTGTTTGTGTATTTGTGTATGGCGCAAGGTAATCCAATATTTCATTTTCTTTGGGGAAGGATGTCTGTATCCATCTTTCTTTTATGAGCTGCTCTAATAATAGTTCTTGGGGCAAAATAATGCAAAAATTTTGCTTTTTTATGAGCGTAGTAGAAAGTAGAATATATTAAGGAAAGAAAATAATAACACGTCTGCTCTCGGTAACTTAATAGCAAGATACGTTTCAAAAGATTATAAGTATAAGTATTAGTTTAACCGGTGTTCCCGCTCATATATAAGCTCACATTTAATATCGGGGTACTGACTATAGTCAGCATGTACGCTGTCTCACAGAATTTTATTCGACATAATATCTACAGAATAAAAAATAACGAACGTCTTAAAAGACTAGTAGGCCTTACAAATAGGGCATACTATGGACTCCAAAAACAATTCTTTTTAGGAAATATTCAAAGAAAAACTAAAATTATTATATACAAAACATAGCTCAGGCCGGTTCTCACATACGGGGCAAAAACATGGACTCTAACGCAGAAGGATAAAAGACTTCTGGGAATATTCGAGTGTAAGACACTTAAACGCAAAATATTTAGAGCTATAAACGACCAAGATAGTGGCGTAAAGGATTTAATTTCGAATTATATCGACTCTTTAATGAACCAGATGTTATAACGTTGCTAAAAAGCTAACAACAGGAACACCTACAGGAAAAAAAAGTAGGGACCTACTGCGAATTAGGTGGTTAGATGGAGTTCAGACCGACTTAGCGATACTAGAGATCAGAAGACAGGAACACGTTGCCAGAAACCGAACAGAATGGCGACTAATCTTATAGCAACCCAGGATCCAGAGAGGATTGTCGAGCCAAAGATGATGATGAACTCCTTAGAGCGAATATTTACAGATTATATAATTTTTCTTGATTTTATTTCCGCTCAATATTTTTTTTTTAATTAAAACAATTTTACCTGCAAAACTAATCAATTTCAAAGCTTGTTTTTCTTCAAAAGGTATTTCCCCGACAATTATGTAACACATTCATTTCATTGAACTTAAATCAACTGCGGAAAAAACCATATTGCTCGCTACTACAGATCCAATGAAATTCTAATTGTCGATGTTTTATTCATCGGCATATGTGTTGTTTCAATTATATTGGAAAAAATTGTTTTGATTGCAGATTTATTGATCAGAATATCTTAGCTGCAGGTTATGTTTGAAGTGTTTTTTCTACCGGACGTCGTCTCAAAAAGATTGTTAATTCTTTACATATGATACAATTTTTTTAATGGCTGTAGATAGTCCTTTGTACTTTACGAACAAAGTAAAAACAGTGTGATACTTAACAGTTACACACTAGTACATGCTTCTGTTTCCAGATTTTAGTCTTACTTATACTTTTTTCATCCATGGTTTTTTTAGTAAAACTTTGTTTCATCATCAGTGTAAATCCATAAAAAATAAAGCTTAAAGAGTCATAAGATGCTTTACTTACTAATCCCTGTCTATCTTAGGAAAGTTGTTTTCGTTTAAATTAGACACAGTTAAAAATCAGAATGACTCATTTGACTTAGTCAACTATCTTAAAGAGTTTTTGAATTTATTGGAATTGCTTGAACTCTCATTTATTAATTTACAATTAAATGTAGTCAGTTGTAGTCAGTTGTCATTATGCTGAGTAACAGTGATCAACCTCTTTTATGATCAAGCTGCAAACACTTATTTACAAAAACTGGATTGTCTAGTAAACAAATGTTTTAGACTAGTAATCTAGTAATGTGTGTCTAGTATTCAATTAGTACATTAAGAAATACTCCTAACACAATTATCTATGTTGAAGCTGTTAAATACCCACTATTTTTAAGAAGGTTACAACTCCGCCTTAAATTTATTTTAAAATTAGATTCTTAAAACATTGATTTTATAAATATACTTCACGATCTGTTTATTTAGGATTTAACAGCACATTTTGGCAGAAAAGAAAATCAACCACCTTTAATACAACCATATATTGAAATACCTGATTCACTCCATCAGGTGTACTGTTCCAAAAAAGTGTTTTTTCTGTTAACCTCCAAAATATTACAGTAAACACTCGTCCATAACATCATCATTCACTTTGCCTTTATCCCTGAGAGGGGTCGGCTTCACTATTACATTTCTTCATAAGTTTTTGGCGTGAGGTAAATTACCAGTCCTTCCGGTAATGATCAATTATAAGCACCAGGGCCGTATTCAGGTTATTTCCCTTAAGAAGGAAATGGATTCAGCAGCAGTATTTTCCACCATGGAAACTTCTGGCAATCTACTTGTAAACCAACCAATAAAATTATATTCTACAGCTGTTATTCAACCTAAAAAAAATTTTCAAACAAAAAACAAGCAATTCTGCTTCACTTACTCCCAAACCGATATAACTCCCAATAACCGATTGATTATTTCCAACGTATGTCCAAGTATTCCGCACAGCGTTATAGAAGAACAACTGAAAAACATAAGAATACATCTAATAACTCCAATTAACTTTCTCAGGATACGCACTTCAAATCCAGCATTCAAGCATATCTTGAGTTTCCGACGATACACTTTTATAGTTCCAACTTCTTTTCCATCGAAAAACAATCTTGCTACTTATGCAAGCAGCAAGGACATTTTGCATCTCAGTGTCCCAATAAAAATAATCAGACTCCTTCAAACAACGCCCAAAATAATGTTCATCTAACCTCTCTGCAGAAAGTACATCAATCAGCTCCCCTTTCGACAATTGCTTCTACAAAATGCTCTCCTACTGAGACCAAAACTACAGAACAACAATCAGCTTATTTGTCGATAAATTCCTCTTTACAATCCTTTCTTGAGATTGATTTTAATTTCGCTTGATTTTAACATCAAAAAAACCAAATACATGGTTATAAGCAAAAATAGGATACCACTTAGTGCAAACTTAAATGAAAAGTGGGATCAATCGATGGAAATTAAGATAAAGATCGAGAAGGCAAGATCAGCTTTCGTCAAAATAAAAAAAATCTTTAACAGCCACGACATAAAATTGGAAATAAAAGTTCGTTTACTAAAATGCTACGTATTTTCTATTCTTTTATATGGCGTGGAGTCATGGACCTTAACTAAAGCATCACTGAAGAGACTCGAAGCATTTAAGATGTGGTGCTATAGACGTATGTTGAAGATTTCCTGGATAGACAGAGTTACCAACGAAGAAGTACTACATAGAATGGGTAAAGAGCGCGAACTATTCGTAACCATAAAACGTCGCAAACTAGGATACCTGGGCCATATAATGCGCAATGGACAACGAAAAACTTCAAGGTAAAGTGCATGGGAAAATAGGTCCAGGACCGAGAAGAATATCCTGGCTTTATGACCTTCGAAAATGGTTTAACTTAACCACTACCGGACTTTTCACGGCAGCAGTCAACAAAGTCAGAATAGCCATGTTAGTGTCCAACATCCGTAACGGATATGCACCATAAGAAGAAGAATCCTCTCTTACTAAGGCTGAAATGTCTAGAAAAATCATTTCCTCTCAATTAAATAAGCATACTTCGATAAGCTGCGACCTACCCAATGAAACTCAAATAGATACATTTGATTATCTGAAGATATATCCTCATCCCAGCACCCTAAACTAAACGTATCTGAGATCTACCTCCCCCCCCCCCATAAGGGATAACGAAAATGCATTTGCTGAACCGAAGCCACAAACCAAAAACCAAAAACTTAACAAGAAAATAACAGAAACCTAGTAAAAGATCTTACCAAATTCACCAGTCACTTTTTCAACGAAAACTCCAACAATAGATACTTAATACAGGAAGAACTTATTGACTTCTTTGAAAATGCGCATGGTTCTTCACATCCTCTCAGTGTCGCCAGAACTTACTTAGAGGATTTCAACAGAACAAATTTTAAGTAATACTTCTACCGGTGATCTATCGATTCCTCTCCGGAGACTTATGAATTAAACTATTTTTAATTATATTATTCAATGCAATCTAAATGGGTACCATATCCATTTACAAGATCTTAAAATTCTTATAAATAAATTTCATCCATCCATTCTATGTGTGAAAGAAACACATTGCAAAAAAAATTCGTGTTACGATCTTAAAAACTTCATGTCCAGACTACGATTAGGACACACCAAGATCCCACATAATTTCCTACTACAGAAGTAACCCAAAGCTTTGTGTTACGCGTGTGATGGTGATCTAATAATAATTATACAATAGTGATAGTGAACAAGCCTTGATGCCCATGCACTATTTAGAGCTACACAAGAGGAGTATGCCAGAATTGTCGTCAACATCCACTAATTGGATAGGGCACCATAAGAAGAAGAATTGTGTTCTTTATTTTTTTATATTTATTTTACCTGTAAATTGACC